CCTTGTTTATGAGGTACAATGAGGAGAACATCTGGAGTAGGGGCCCGAGAGAAGGGAGCCTGGGAACAGAGGTGCTCCCACCTCATTCAGGAAGCTCCTACCTTCCTGGAGGGTGGTCGGCTGCCCCGGGCCTTAGGGGAGGTGGTCAAGGAAGCAAAATGGGGGATTTGGGCAGATTAAGTCAAGGGTGCTGGGAGATCCCCCCAAACCTGATTAGAAGTGGCCAGGAAGGGCCGGCGCAGAGGGGACGAGGACTCCTGGGTTTCTGGTTAGGCAGACTTGAGTCAGCGGGCCTACGGACAGGGGGCGTCAGGCCACACTGGAGGGAAGGGTCCAGAACACGGTTGGGTGACTGGTGTGAACATGGGCGATCTCCTGCAGTGCTCTGGTAGCAAGCAGCCTGTTGAAAGTCCCAGAGCAAGGGTGAGATGGTCCCGGGGACCCACGACAGCTCACTACTCTCGTCATCACACTGCGCGGGCCAACTTATGCCACGACAGAGCAAGTATCGGAAGGTGTGAGTCCGTCCCTGTGAAGGTTTGCAATTCAATTAAGCCAATTAAGGTCTGGAAGATGGTACATTGCCTGCACTTTTAGTGCCTACAAACCGTTCTAGGCAGCCAGCCCAGGCCGGAAAGCCTCTGTCGGGCCTGTAGAACTGATAGGCCTGGTCACTTCTGTTCTCAGCCATTTCAGTGATGGCTGCCGTCCTTATTAAGAATGAGAGAGGCAATTGCCCAAGCTTACAGAGAACCCAGAAAAACAACAGTATATGCCATTTGGTCTCTACAGCAGCCAACAGTCACTCAAGACAGACTTTGATTTAACTGATGGCTCCTGTCTGGCCTACAGAGTTAATGAAGATGAGGAAGGTTAGCATGAGCACAGTCTTTGACTTGAGGGGGCCCCCCCAGAGCTGCGTGGAGGCCCTGGGCACACTGCGAGTAGCCTGCTGGGGGTCAAGGCATCCCTGCCCTGCATCCCTGTGCCCCCCTCATGGTCTCCAGGAAGGCGATCCACACCCCGCCCCTCAAAAAAAAAGACTCCCCGCTCTTCCTTGGCCAGCCAGGCCCCTGTTCGCTCCCTCCTCCGGGCCCCCATCCCCAGCCAGGGCTGACCATTCAGTGAACTTCCTGCCAACTCAATAACCGCATATCTCAAAAAGCTTTCACCCCTGGGAGTGGGAGAGAAAGCAGAGAGCCATAGGAGCGGTCGGCGGATTAGAGACTCGGCAGCGATCAATTTTGGCACAGACTTTCTGGAGAATGTTCCACTTGAATTGCCACTCAAATTCGTCAGAGGTCATCAGGCAGAGAGGGGACAGCAGGCTGTGCGGGGCGGGGCACATATGGAGTGCTTGGAGCCGGCGAGGCTGTGCGTGGCGGCCAGGTGAGCGCTGACGCGGGTAGACGGGCGTGGGGCACAGGCGGGAGCAGGAGAGGAGCTGGCTTTTTGCCTGGGGGGGGGGGGGGGGGGTCACCTGCACCGGGGAAAATGGTGACCCAGAGCCGGGTGGTGACAGGCTGCCCAGCTGGAGGGAGACAGGCGACGTGGTAGGCGGGGACACGGGGCCTGCTCGGCGGGGGATGAGGCAGAGGGACCAGGCCACAGCCGCAGGCGGGGTGCCAGGGGACGCTGAGGTGCAGAGGAGCAGCAGGGCCAGCTGAGAGGCGGTGGTGAGGGCAGGCACGCTCTGTGTCCCACAGAAGGTCAGGCCTCGCCTCCCTGCTCGGCTCCCTTACCGTGAGTCACCACAGGCACAGGAGGCCTCAGTGATGACAGCACACCGATTGGGAGCAGCTCAAGGACCCTGTGTGGCTGTCTGGGCCACGGCTGTTGCTCAGTCGAGGGCAGGGCCACGCCTGGGGGCCGGGTAAGGAGCAGGAGGCAAGGACAGGGCTCACCTTCAGTGAACCCTGTTTTCAGGGAGCGGGCGGGAGAGGCCGGTGCCTCCGGTGGAAGCAGGCGTGTGAAGGTGTGACCTCCACCAGCCTGAGCTGCTGTCTCCCACCGCCTGTCTCAGAGCCCACCCAACTATGGGCCATTCCTCTGTCATCCCCAGGAGCCCTCCAGTGCCATACGGGTGGGGTCGGGCGCCTTCTACCTGAGCCTTCTCTGAGTGGGTACAGGTGCCGAGAAGATAAAAGGGTTCCAAGGGAACAAAATCATTCATCTGACTTCGCTTTTAGAAAGAACCCCCGCGGAGTCCCTACACAGCTCAGTGGGGGCCGTTCGGGCACATAGCTAGCCCCAGGGGCCTAGGTGGAAGGTGTGGGATGCAGGCCCGGGGCCTGCCTGCCAGGGGCGTCAGAGCCTCCCTGGTGCTCACCACTCCCCTCAGCCTGGGAGGAGGGGCCTACAGGGCACCCCAGGGTGCTGTGCTCAGGGACAGTTGACTCCCCCCCCCACCCCCTGCCGGGACCCACACAGCCCATAGATGGGTGTTCTCTCAGCAGCCGAGTGTGCCCGGGACCTACTCGCCGGGGGCTCTGTGCCTATGGCAAGCCAATGCCCGCACACGTGAACCAGCCCCCGTCCCTCCCGTCCAGCAGCCAACAGGCCAGGGGGCTGGGGACACAGAGCCCAGCCCTGCAAGTTTCACCCAAGTTGCCTGGTATGTGGGAAGGGAGAAGCATGGCAGCGACACTCGGGGTCAGAGAAAGGAGGGGAGAAGGGGCACCCAGCAGGGGCGCTGTCCTGAGCCACAGTCTGGACTGGGGAAGGAATCTGGCAGGACGAAGGCAGGGGTGGGGGCGACAGGCAAGGCCATCTAGAGAGGTCAAAAGCCACCAACGCTGCCTCCGATGGCTCCTGAGATGGCCTGAGGTCGGGACAGCCAGGTCTCCCAGTGGCCAAGCCTCTGTTTCCGGCGCTGGTGAATGGGCCGGTGATTCCTACGGCTCCCACCCAGGTGCGTGGGCCACATTCGCAGAGCACCCCCGAAGGAACCCCACGTGCCATGGAAATGAAAGGTTTGCTCGCTTGAAGCTCTGCGTGCCGGTGCTCCCGGGAGCTCAGGGTCACCCGCGTTGCCTCCGCCCTCTCCCCCACGTGCCGAATGACCTAGCAGCTGACTGCAGCCCTCCCTCATCCCTGGGCTTCTGCCCCTCCAGTCTGGCGTCACCCGGCAGCCGTCTGCTCGGTGATGGCCCAGGTCACTTGTGGCCCCGTGGGATCCGCAGCCCCATTCCCCCACCGACCCGTCCCACTACCTGTCTTCTCCTTAGGATCAGAACACTCTTTCATCCAGAAGAACGGCTCGCTCCTCCCCCTTGTTCTGGTCTTTTCGCAAACGCGCCCTTGCCAAGAGGCCTTCCCTGCCCCTACCCCCAGCGGAAACCATTCTGTCCATCACTCTGTCACCTGCTGCGAACTCACCTCCAAGCCAGAGAGCACAAGGATGCACTCAGTGCTGTCACCTCTGTGTCCCCAGCACGGATGGCCAGTGCAGGCCTGTAGTAGATGACAAAGTGGAGGGATGGGCACTGGGAAGACGCGTGGGAGTGGAAAGGACGGCACGTTCTCGTGTCTGCCATTTTGTTCCCACATCTTCCGGCACCGAAGGCTGCTCCATGTGGAAACTGTCTAGAGGATTAACACTTAGGTGCCCAAACTTATAAATAAAATGGGGATCACTTTCGATGGGCATTTTTTGAAGTGCCTCCCTGGGTCCCAGGCCTCCTGGGTGGGACTGCCCTAGGTATATGTGCCTTTTTTGGACACGGTAGGGTCAAGCGTGCAGAGGAACTAAGGCCCCCACGTGTTCTGAACGCCCTCGGGCTGGTCTTGTCCCCTGAGGGCTGTGGTGCACCCCTGCTTCTGGTGTCCCCTGGGCTCTGGGTAACAGGTGGGACCTCTCCTGAGAGTAGGCGCCATAGGCTCTGGGCTGTGTTTCCACGGGCAGTTCTAGATCAGGAACCTGCATTGGTAGCCAAGTTTTGCTTCCAAGAGGATCCTTCGGAGCCTGCAGCTTCCCCAAAGGCAAAAGATGGGGCCCAACTGAGCCATGCCATCGGGAGGCCTCTTTGCTGTTGTGAAGGCCAAGGCCGTGTGCACTGACACTAGTTTAATCCTGGGAGTTTGACCTTTGGGGATGCTTGCACTCATGCTCCCAGCCTGTGTGTGTGTTGTGGGCAGCCCCCCGATTCATCGCCTGGAGGGCAGAAGGGTGTGGAGGGGAGGGGACGGCACCGTGCTGTGGGCGGGCTGATGGGGAAGTGGCCAGTGACCTGTGGCTGCTTTCCACCTTCTCCTGTGCGCCCTCTCCTCCACCCCTCCTCTTCTCCTTTTATCCCCTCCTTTCCCCTCCTGCCCTCCCTCTCCCTCCTTACCCCCTCCCCCCAGGCCACCTCCCTTCCTTGCCCCAGACCCCCCAGGTGCCCTCGGGGCAGCAGAGACACCCTGCACACTAAGTCTTGACCTGGCTCCCGGCTGGCCCCGCCCATGGCCTGGCCTGCTCCCTGGACCCCCCGCGCAGCCCCAAGCCTGAAACCGTGAGCCCCAGAGGCTGTGCCAGGCCGCTGCAGGGGATTTATAGCACGTCTGCTACACCGGGCGAGTGTTAATCAGGCAAGAGCAGGGAGCATGACGGAGGGGACAAGCTTTCACCCAAGGTAGGGCACGTACATGAGAGAATTGTGGCACAGATAGCCCACCCCCACCCGTGCCAGTAATCAACCCCAGGACATCTCCTCTGCTTCGGTGTGGGTTCCCAGACGGATTTGGGAGGCAGTCAGAGTCTCCGTATCGCAACAGCAGACCCCTTCCAAGAGACACGAACGCTCCCTCCTTCCCCACCTAGGCGAGTCCTCCTGCCTTGGGTACTCGGGCTGGGCAGGACTAGGGGATGGCCTGGCAGCTGGGCCTGGCAGGGCATGAGGGCCACTGACCCAACCTAGGAGGTGAATTTTGCAATCGGCAAGTCAGGGCTCAGACTGAGTGCCGATTTTCGGAGAACGTTCTGGAAGAGTGGACCTCAGTCTTGTCTCAACTTCGCCCCTGGCTTCTTCTCACCTCTCCCCAGGTGTCCGTGCTCGGCCACTTCCCCGCTGCAGCTCCCTCCACTACACCTCACCCAGGCACTGGGACCTCGGGTGGCTGCCTGCCCCTAGCTGAGGCCGCACCTGTGAAGAGGTCGGGCACCCTGTCCTCCCGGCACGACAGGCGGGATGGGCGACATGGCCAACAGTTCCATCGAGTTTCACCCCAAGCCCCAGCAGCAGCGGGAGGCCCCCCATGCGGGCGGCTTTGGGTGCACACTGGCTGAGTTGCGTTCCCTCATGGAGCTCCGAGGGGCTGAGGCGCTGCAGAAGGTCCAGGAAGCCTACGGGGACGTCAGTGGGCTTTGCAGGAGGCTGAAGACCTCGCCCACAGAGGGTAAGGCTCCCAGCAGAGCCCCAGCGCAGGCCGCGAGTGCGCCAGGGATGTAGGGTCATGGGCCACCGGACGCTCCCCCCGGTCTCCAAGGGCCATCCTGAAGACGTCCCGTACCCCCGGGGCGGGCCTGGTCGAGGGCCGGGTGGTGCTTCTGCAGCAGCTTCCGGAAGCACTCTTGACCCTGACTGTGCCCTCCCAAGGAAGCCATCCCGCCCCCGCCACCACCGAGCGGGAGATGCTCTGTAGGGGGGTGAGGGGGATCGTCCTCTGGGTAACCTGGGGTCCTCCGGGAGCCGTGGCCTGACCCCCTCCATCAGCAGCAGCTCCCTGCTCTCGCCTCTTTGGATTAAATAGAAATCAAGCAAAAGAGGAGGGAAGGAAGAGGACGGCACGGTGTCAGGCTGGGCCCCAAACTGAAACCCCAGAAGCTCTTCTGGGCAACAGGGCAACAGGGTGGGACAGAGGAGGAGGAAGGCCGGGCCCCTGTCTGTATGCTCCAGGCCGTGTGCCCAGCCCCGTGTCCGGTTAAGGGGCACAGGAGAACGAGGGTGCCGGCCCTCTGCGGGCTTGGGTTGCAGGGGGCTCTCTCTGGAAAGGGGGGGCAGAGTGCTGAGTGGAGGTGCCACTGGCCACAGGCTGTCCCAAAGAAGCAAAGAAGCAAGTCTGGTGCTTGGGTGGTTCAGCGGCAGAATTCTCCCCTGCCAAAGAGGTGCAAGCCACAGGCAGCATAGATCTGAGGAGCCTTGAGGAAGGCTGAGGAGCATTGTCTAGAAGGTTCCAGAGGCAGAGGCCTGACCGCCACCTTGGGTCCCTGCCTCGGCCCTGTAGCCCTTGCCCCCTGCACTGGAGGCAAAGCTGTGCCCTGCTCTGCACCAGCCTTTCCCAGTCCTGCCTGCTGGGTCTGCTGGGAGGCCGGGACCACCAGGACCCAGGCTTGGCCCCAGATTCCAGGAGTTGGAGTGTTTTCTGGCCCAGCTGGCACCTCCCTGGCAGGGCTCCTAGGGCTGTCCCAGCCCAGTGCCAGGCCTGTTCTCAGCCAGCCCTGATTTATCTCATCAGCTCCCATCTCAGCTGTCACACCTTTGTCCACCCAGGGCTCTGGCCATCACCCTGGTCTGTTGCTCCCTGGCCCTATCTGTCTGTGGATGGCACATGGGCTGGAGCAGGGGGTAGAGAAGGCCCACCCGGGAGGAGATGGGCCCAAGGGCCGGGTGAGAGGGTGCCCACCCAACCAGGTCAGGAACTCCAAGCCTAAGTGGCCTTCTCAGGGCCGCCTGGGTCTCTCTTGTTTTGTGCTCTAAAGGGACCCAGCCTGGTGTGTTGTGTTATCAGGGCAGATGGCTTGGCTTGGGGCCAGAGGGATCTCTCTCCTTCCCTCCTCCTTGCCCCTCCCCCCACCCAGGATTTGGGGCTGGGGGGAGGCTGGGGTGGAGGGCCATTTGGCCACAAGGGCTCTGGCCTCTTCCAGATAAAAGGAAGCAGATGGGCTTCAGCTGGCAGCTCTTTCCTCTGCCTGTCAGGCCTTGTTAAATATTTAAAATGTCAAGGCCCCTGGGAACCTGCCTGATTCTGCCACAGCGGCTCTGGAGCTCGCCCAGTGCCTGTGGAGGGGCGGGCATGAAGAAGGGCAAGTGCCCAGGTGGGCGGCCAGGCCGCAGCAGAGGGAGCCGGCCAGGCCTGACCTGCCTCCTGAAGAATGAGCAGCACGAGGACTACCCCTCCCCACTCCAAGCCCAGGAGCCCTGGCCCCCAGTACACCTGCCGACTTGGCCCCGGAGTGTTCACCCACATGTCCCCACTCCTGCCCAGACACAATGGCCTGAGCTTTAGGAGGGGCCGGCTTAGCCGCACCCTGGGCCCCACATCAATCCCCTGGCAAGGTGTGCTGGCAGATGGGTGCTTTGGGAAGGGTGGGGGGCGTGGGGACGTGCATGGTGTACTGGGGGGGGGGGGATTTTGTCTGTTCCCGGCAATAAGCACGTCAATGGGCTCAGGCTTTGTAGCTATCCAAGAGGATTCCAGAAGCCAGAGAACCCGGGTCTTGGGCCAAGCTCAGTGGGAAGCCCACCGGGGGGACCTGGGCCCCAGCCCTTCCCCTGTCTGGCCTTTACCAGCAGCAGTCATGGAAATGAGAGGGCGGATTATCCAAGAGCCGCACGATGTGGTCCTAATCCAATTCTGATGGCATCTGGCCTCTGCTCTGGGCAGGACACTCATCCGTGTCCAAGCCAACCAGCCGGCCCCTGCCCCAGCACCTGGACCTGGGCCGCTGCGGGGGCCTGCCGACTGGGCACATGCTTGGAGCCAGAGGGGCTGCAGCTACCTTCTGGCCCCCACATGAGTACCCGAGCAGCTGTCTGGACCCCCGAGCCCAACAGGAAGGCCATGGTCTTGGGCTGGTGCAGGGCAAGGGAGAGAGAAGCGTTGCTAGAGTATCAAGGGCAACCCAAGGCCAAGGGACAGGCTGACAGTGGGAGGGGAGGAACGGAGCCAGCTCACTCCTGGGGAGGGGGCCCCAAGGGCCTGGCTTCCCTTGGGGACAATCTGGCGTATGGGGTGAGGCAGGCAGGATGCAGACTTATGGTGGCACAGGGACCCACGGGCTCTCTCTTGAGGGTCTCCAGATCCGTGCCCTTTCTCAAGGCAGGGGCAGTGGCAATTCCGGGTGTCTGGGAGAGCGGGGCTTCAAGCACTTCCATAGTGCTGACCTCACTTTTCATATCTCTTGTAGCTTAAAGACGCAGGCCTCAGTTAGGAGTGGGGCACAGGCCCTCGGCTGGGACCCCAGGCCCTAGGAGCTGAGGTCCTGAGCTTGTCCCAGACACCCAGGTGCAAAGTTGCAGCCTTCAGAAACCAGAGCCCCGGCGGGGCCCAGGCACCATGAGGCCTGGGGAGAAGGGCAGGGGCAGCCGCAGCCCCGCTGGGTGCGGAGATGTGCCCAGGCTGTGCCCGCTGGGGGCTTTTGCTCTCGTCGGGCCTTCCACCTCTGGTGGGCTCCACCCTGCCCCTCCCCAGGCCCCTTCCCTGCCTAGTGGACAGCCACCCTCCTTCCTCCCAACTCTTTCTGCACCCCACTTAACACTTCCTTGCTATCAAGTCCTATGTGCCTTCCCAAGCCAGCTGAGATCACCCCCATAAGCTGGGGAACCCGCCCCCCATCTGCCCTGCCGGTAGCTCCCTGCCCCCGGGAACTGCAGTCCAGTGTCTGCCCACGAGGTGTCAGTGTGGAGCCGGACCCTTGGGTTCAGGCCTAGAAGGAAGCAGCATCCTGAGGGATGAGGACGGGGCCAGGGGACGGCGTCCGGTGGGCCCGCCTCTGGGGAGGGTGGCCAAGTGGATGTCTGGCCTCGGGAGGAGGTAGCCTGGATGTCAGTTCCACATGGAGACTTCTGGTAGCTCCAGGCATGGGCCTGAGGGGACTCATGCTGTAGAGGCAGAGACCCAGAGGGCTTGGTGCGGGCCTGGGTGGGAAGTGGGCTGTCCCAAGGATGAGAAGTAAGGTAAGGGCCCAGCCTCGAAAGCCGGAGCTCACCCCTTGGTGGATGTTGATTCTGAGCCCTTCATCCCAGCCCCAACACACTAGAGTGCCTGCGATGTGGCGGGGGCCTCCCAGGGCTCTAGAAGTCCGGGTCAGGCCTCTCAGCCTCTCAGCCCTCCTTCAACATGTTTCACCTGCTCTGGCCACAAGGGGTCCCCACGGAGACCGGCTTCTTCACCCTTCACTCTCCTCATCCTCTGCCTGGTGGCCTGGGGACACCGTGGCATCAGTATGAATCACTCACTGACAATCCCAGAGCCTCAGAGACATTCACCAAGTGCCACGTGTGCGGCCCCAGAGGAGGCAATAGGTGGGGGCGTGGGCAAGGCAGGGAGCTCACGTCCCATCCCCGCCCTTCGCCGTGACCCCCAGCTCAGAACTCGAGGTTGGCACTGCAGCGGGGTCTAGGGAAAGTGTTAGGAAGGAGGCAGGCTGACTCCGGACGACGGCCACGAGAGCTCGGGGCGGGGGCAGTTCCTACGTACCTCCTGGTGCCACGGGTGCCACACCCATGCTCAACAGTATGGGCAAAACCGACGATGCTTTGGGGCTGCCAGAGCCGACTGTCTCCCGGGTCTCATCAGATGACACAGGTTCTGTGTCCCGCGCGCATGGCTTGGCCACGCCCCCCTGTTGATGTTGTGAGGCTCCCGTCATCCTGACCTAGGGTCAGGTGCACAGGGCAGCAAAGGAGTCCTGGGCTGCCAGCAAGAGCTCCGGCTCACAGGCACAGGGCCCTTTCCCTCCCTGGACTCAGTTTCCTCCTCTGGACCCTGGAGGGATTGTACGAGCACCTCGGCCCACTCACAGCCCACAGGCGATCAGCTACCCTGGGCCTGGCTGACAGCAGGCTGCCACACCTGTGCCCTCCATCCCAGTCTTGTACCAAGCCCTGCACTCCTGCGAACGCCTGGGCTGTTCTCTTCTCCTGTCTCCAGGTGACACTTGGCCATCCCTGGCCCAGCTGGGTTCCCTCTGCCCACCCCCACCCCATGGTGGCCGTTATCACCGTCCTTCCCATCTGCCCTCTGAAGGGACCCACCGTAGCCCATAGACCTCCCCGAGCATATCGGGAGGACGACCGAACCCTTCCTCATACCAGGGGCCCCTCATTGTTGCGAGTCGCGCGGTCGCACGCCTGAGCTGTCCAGGCAGCTGGAAGGCACACACGCCCACATACCTGTCCTCGGGGTTTGCAGAAAGGCTTGGAGGACCGGGCAGGTGCAGTTCCCGCCTTCCAGGGGCTTTCAGGCCAGAGAACAAGACAGGCACTCTGGGCGAGCAGGGGAGAAAGGGGCAGGGCCTCACGCTTTTGGCCCTTCCCATCTTCTTGCTCTGTGTCCCCGCTCTCCATCCCTGCACCACACAGGCCTGGCCAACAATGCCAATGACTTGGAAAAGCGCAGGCAGATCTATGGGCAGAACTTCATCCCTCCCAAGCAGCCCAAGACCTTCCTGCAACTGGTGTGGGAGGCCCTGCAGGATGTGACGCTAATCATCCTGGAGGTAGCCGCCATCGTCTCCCTGGGCCTTTCATTCTATGCACCGCCCGGAGAGGAGAGCGAAGGTGAGCAGGGGAGGACCCGGCAGGAGGGAAGGAATGGGACCTGAGCCGAGGGGCCTCAGCGTGACTTTCCTGCCACCCCACCCTTCCCTGCCGTCCTCGGGTGCAGCATGCGGGAACGTGTCAGCTGGGGCAGAAGACGAAGGGGAGGCCGAGGCAGGCTGGATCGAGGGAGCCGCCATCCTGTTGTCGGTCACCTGCGTGGTGCTGGTCACGGCTTTCAATGACTGGAGCAAGGAGAGGCAGTTCCGGGGCCTGCAGAGCCGCATCGAACAGGAACAGAGGTTCTCCGTCATCCGGGACGGCCAGCTGCTGCAGGTTCCGGTGGCCGCACTGGTGGTGGGCGACATCGCACAGGTCAAGTACGGTGAGTGCATCTGGCAAGGGCCTTCCCCACCCCCCAGTACGTGGGCCTTCACCTGCGGGACAAGGCTGGGCAGGGGCAGCAGTGGGCGGTGGGGGGGCTCAAGCTGGAGACAGAGCCCCGGGAAGCAGGCCTGAAGCTGAAGGGAGAGGGCCCCACCCCCTAGGTTCGAGACCTCTCCTGGGGCAGGCGGGAGGCAGCAGGGCGGAAGGCTACCTGGACCCACAGCGTGTGGTTCCGGCTGCCTGGCCGGCCTTAGGAGACCTGCTACCTGCTGATGGCGTGCTCATCCAAGGCAATGACCTCAAGATCGATGAGAGCTCCCTGACAGGCGAGTCGGACCACGTGCGCAAATCAGCTGACAAAGACCCCATGCTGCTCTCAGGTGAGGCCTCGGGGCACTGGCCAAGCTGTGGGGGGGGGGGGGCAAGATGCAGGCTGACACTGCCCTCTGAACCAGTTCGGCACCAAAGAGCCTTGGAAGCCATCTGGCCCAGCCACCCCCTCAATCGCAGGCCTCCTGAGTCACCCTTCTGGCTAGGGAGTCTGAAGTTTTTGCCCCCAAGAGGCCAGAGTGGCCCGTGGGAGGCCTGATGGTGGTCGCTCTAGCCACTGGGGAAGGAAATGGGTGCTCCCCGCCTCAAAGGGCCCCTAATATCCTGAGGAAAGCTCCTAGAACGTTTTGGCCTAGCCCAGCATTTATCCCGGTGGCAAATGCAGTGTGACACAAGACAGAGAGGCTGGAGGCCCCAGGTGGACCCTGTGAAGACCTCACCTTGTGTTTCTGGGCAAGCAGCTGCTCATGTGTGCGCCTCCGGGTCCCCTCCAAGCCAGGAATGAGGCTTCGTTCTAGGATTAGGGTCAACATAGCCTCCAGGGGCCTCCAAACACCGAGTTCGTGCTTCTGGGATTCCTGGGGGAGAACTTGTAGGTGTTCAGCCACGCCTCCCTCTCCCTCAAGGAATGCAAATCTGTCTCGGTCCCCCTGTGTTCCCAGGTACCCATGTCATGGAAGGTTCTGGAAGAATGGTGGTGACTGCTGTCGGTGTCAACTCCCAGACAGGAATCATCTTTACCTTGCTTGGAGCTGGTGGGGAGGAAGAGGAGAAGAAGGATAAGAAAGGTAAGGAAATAGTGACGTCCAGTTCCCAGCACCACTGGCCTAATCCCCCACTCCAGCTCCAGCTGCAGCGAGAGCCAGCCTTGAGCGGTGAGAGGCCGTAGCTTCTCTTCCGATTCCTTTGGAGGACCTGCTTCTGGCGTCTTTGCCCAAAGGCTTTGGGAAGTGTGTGCCAGGGTGGGGGGAGTGCCCTGCCTGGGGAGGAACGGGGTTGGAGGGACAGAGGCCAGCCGCCTTGGCTTGGGAGAGTGCCCCCGGGGACCCTGTGCCCACTCTTGGGTGTGCTGACGCCCCGTGGTGAGGTGCCGAGGGCCCCACCAACATGGCAGCCAGGGAGATGTGAGTCATACAACCAGAGGTAGAGGGCTCCCAATCGAAATGGACTGGACTCCCCAGAGGATGTCCGAGGCCAGAGGAAGCTGGGATGGGGTGGGGGCCCAGGGGAAAACAGTGTCAAGGGACAACTGTCTTGTGAGAGGCCAGCTGGCACACGGCCGTCCCGCTGCCTCCTTTCGCCACTGCCCCGAGCCCCAGGCGTGGCCGCTGTCTCTTCCAGTCCTCAGAACAGCGCTGACAAAACTGTGGAGCTGTCCTCAGCACCACCCCACGCCCAGAGCCCCAATCCCACCAGGCAGGACCCCGTTCAGTTCTTTGTTTCAGGCCCGCACCAGGTCACGACTCACCTTGATCTAACCTGGGTCTCCCCCGAACCAGGCGGGGAGCAGAGTTTCCTAGATGTGTGCCTTCGAGAGCACTCGCTTGGGTCCACTCGGAGTACAAAGAAGCTGCACACATGTGGAGAAGGCGTGTGCTGAAAGCCCGCAGCCAGGGTCCCCGGGGGGAAGTGAGACAGAGGGGTGCCGGTCACCGGCCCTACATCAGTCAGTCAGGGCACCTAGACCGGGCAAACAAGTGGCGAGGGGACAGGCCAGCATAAGGAAGGATGTGCCAGTGTCTCCAGCCCTAGGCTGCCCTGCTCCTGGAGACAGTGAGAGAGGAGGTGGGTGACCTGCTGTGGCCTAGAAGCTTCTGTGCGCCCCGTCTCCCAGCAGCCAGCCAGCACTAGCAGACCCTCATCCACATTTGCCACACCAAGCATCCTGTCCCTGCGGGGCTCAGCGCAGTTTCTCTCCACCGTGAACAGCCGAGGGGCCGCAGGCAGGCAAGCGGGCGGGTGGGTGGGCCCTGGGCCTCCTCCAGGCTGGGCTGGGGTACCCATCCCCCTCTCCAGGGAAGCCTTCTCCTCCCCTGCAGCCCTGTCCCTGAGATGTTGGTGGTCTGCAGGACTTGGTTTGGGACCCCTCTTCTTCAACCTTGACAAAACCCCACCAGTCCCCCCAGGCCCCTCCCCAGCTCTGGCTCGTCTGCCCCTCACTCTGCTTCAGCTGCCCTAGGCTGAGCTACTGAGGGGTCAGAGGGGGCACCTCTGCCAGCCAGCTCCCTGGAAGAGGGGAACCCTGAGGTGGGGGGGGGGCTGGAGGGGAGCAGAGCTGGCCAGGCTCCAGGCAGGGGCAGCAGCACCCACAACTCCCCACCAAGGTGTGAGCCCAAGGCCCGGCTGCTGCTGCGGTGGCAAAGCCAGCGCCCCACCCTGGCCCCCATCCCTACTCCTGCTGCCTCTCAACCCCGTCTCTCAGCCCGATGCTCCCAGGCCACCTGCTGCCCTTCAATCTGTTTCTTGCCTTTTGGCCTTGACTCCTAGTCGCCCTCCTACTTGAGGTGCTCTCCTTCCCCTCCTCCCCTCCCTGGGCTTCTGTCTTCCTCTTCCTGTAGTGCTGATCCCGCACGTCTCTCCCTCCTCCAGAGGCCTCTCTGGGCCCTTCTGCATTGTCACCGTGTGTCTACAGGTGTCTCCTCTCCCCCCAGGAGTCTCCTTCGCCTCTGAACCTCCCCACTCTGACAGAGGGACAACCTGCATACCACCCCAGCCGGGAGGGGGCCTCTCTCTCCTCCCTGGGACCCCCAGACTAGACCCCACCGCCTAGAAGCCACCTGGCACCCTGTCTGCGCTCCCGGATCCCCAGTGACATGACTTATTGGGTATTGGTCAGCACACAAACCCCTCCTGTCACACGTCAGTCATTTCCAGATCCCAGGCTAGCACTTGTGTGGTCCCTAAGAGAGCTCTTTGAACCGATGCCCCACCGCGATGCCCTGGGGAAGATGAGGCCAGAGGGGCTGGTACAGAGCCCGACCCAGAGCACAGTGCTGGCCTCACTGCCAGCGCCGTTTACCTTGGTCTTGGAAGCCAGTCACTGCCCTGGTCCCCAACACCCAGCTGCGGGCTTTGTGGTTGCAGACCACATTCACGAATGCGCCCCCCGCCCCCGCTGCCGACACACAGGTCCAGCTGGGGCCCAGTCCATTCCGTGTACCATTGCTCCCTCCAGTGCCGGGTGCCTGGCGCCCATGTGGGCATTCAAGGCCAGCAGGTTTCTAGAGTCTCCCTTCTCTGTCCCTCCAAACACTCTGCAGAGCTGACTGCTGGCTGCGCTGCACAGAAAGCTGACCGCTAGGCCACTAGGGGTCAGGGACCACCTAGGTAGACGGTTCATGCCACTCCTGTGGAGGGGGGTACATATCCCGACTGGGGGGGCCCTGCTCAACGTGGCAGACCTGGGACCAGACACCTGGCGGCTCTCACTCCCCGTGGCGGTAGCCTTTTCAGAGACCTCCCCCACTGCTGGGCACACACGACCCAGGGGCCGTCCAGGACTGGCTCGGGGAGTTCACTGGAGGGCCGGGCCCTCGTCTGGGAAGCCAAGAGTGTGGCTCTCGTGGGCTGAGAGGTGGAGAGAGGGCATCAGAGCAGGCCCGGGGAGCACAGGGCCCTCCTCCCCGCCCCTTTGCACCGCGCTCTCCGGCCTCGCTGTCTGTGTCCCGCTGTCCTGTGTGCGTGTGCGTGTGCCAGGGCCACGTGGATGTTCTGAAGCCTTCGTGTCTATCATTCCTCTTCCATTGTAGGCAAGCAGCAGGATGGGGCGATGGAGAGTAGCCAGACCAAAGGTAACGCGCGCCCCGTGCTCAGGGTGGGGTGGCGGAGGGGTGCGGCACAGGGTGGGGGGCCGCCCGCGTCAGTTGCTGGAGCAGCACCCAGAGACCAGGTGAGTGGGGCGGGGGGCCCCTGTGCAGACCCTGCCAGAAGTATGCAAAGATCACCCGTGAGGAAACTGAGGCTCAGAGAGGGTGACTCACCCAAGACCACACCAGGCCTGTGGGTTTCCCGGTCCAGCTGCCTTTCTTCTGGGCTTTTGAGGCAGGGTGACCGGGTGCCGGTCCAACACCCACTCTCCTCTCGGCCCGAATGCCTGGTAGGTGCTGATGCCGTGTGGCTGGGATGAAGGTTGTCAGCGGTGAGGGGCTTTGGAGGGAATCCAAAGGTGTAAAGCACGGTCCTTGCCCTCAGGAAGGTCAGAACGCAGAGAAACGGACCCAGGGGCAAGACTCAAGTGCATTGTGGGGCCCAGGGGCCCAGGGACCAAGACAGGGTCAGACAAGCAAACTAGAGTTCCGAGGATAGCTGAGGTTGGGAGGGATCTGGGTCAGGGGGACAGCCTGATGGCTAGGGTCCCGGGCTGGGGCAGGGAGTGCCAGTCAGTGGGGCGCAAGGCTAGAGTGACCCAGCTGGGTGGGGCATTGAGTATCACTGAGGCCGTGGGCTCTGGCCTGAGGCCCCTGGGGACAAGAAGCCTTGTGGTCAGGGGCAGTGTGAAGAGAGCAGGACCCAGTGAGGGAGCCACGAGGACGCCACCTGTCCCAGACAGAAGGCGAAGAGGCAGCTAGAGGAGAGAGAGGTGTGAAGCTCGCCCATGGTGGCCCGTTCCGGCAGGAGCCACCTGCAGCCAGGGAGCGGGCTGAGGAGGGGCACACAGCGAGCCGGGGCTCTGATGGAAGTCAATGCGCCCACTCGAGAGGCTGACGGGAGAATAGACAGCCTAAGCAGGGAGCAGGGGAGAAGAACGCAAGGGCTCCTAGGCCTCCTGCGGGGGGTGGAGCTTGGACACCAGTGGGCCACTGACTCAGTTCAAGGTTCTGGAACGTTCCCTGGGCCCCAGACCTCTGCTGTCAGGTATTGAGATTTGGGGCATTATGGGGCTGGCCATCCTTTCCCCTGAGAAGCCCCGAGACAACCGTCTCTGCACTGACCACGACAGCACCGGAGCCTCCCACCCATCTCGGGAGGGCCTGAACTGCCAGGGAGACGGGAGGGAGAGGAGACAGCCCCCGGGCTAGGTCACACTCAGAAAGCAGAGAAACCCCTTGAGCCCCGTTTCCTCTCGTATAGTGTGGCACGTCTTTCCCTGTGAAAGCCCCTTGTAGCTGTCGCCTGGGCCCTAAGTTTGGCTGTGGGGTTCCTCTGTACGCAGCCAAGAAGCAGGACGGGGCAGTTGCCATGGAAATGCAGCCCCTGAAGAGTGCGGAGGGTGGGGAGACTGAGGAACGGGAGAAGAAGAAAGCCAGCGTGCCCAAGAAGGAGAAGTCGGTCCTGCAGGGCAAGCTCACCAAACTGGCCGTGCAGATCGGGAAAGCAGGTAGGGCCAGCGGACGCGTGGTCCAGGGGCCACCAATGGGCGAGGACACTGGGCCCCCGGGCCTGAGGCCGGGCCGTGGAGGGCAAGTGGGAAAGGGATGTTCCAGGGGGCGCAGGCCAGGCAGCAAGGGGACCCCACCAGGGGCCGGCAGTGGCCGGCAGGGGCCGGTGCCGCCCCCATTTGGAGACCGTGGCTTCCGAGCGTCCGTCCGCAAGGCTGGGGACCGAGTGCCTCCCCCGACCTGGCTGGCCGTGGCGCGGTCCGCAGCCTCCCTTACCACTCCTTCGCTCTTGCTCTCTCCCTCCCTCGCCCCGGCCGACTCCCCTTCCCGCACCCACCCTCTGTGGCTTCCGCGGCTGGGCAGGGCTGGTGATGTCTGCCATCACCGTCATCATCCTGGTCCTCTACTTTGTGATTGAGACCTTCGTCGTGGATGGCCGGGTGTGGCTGGCGGAGTGCACGCCCGTCTACGTGCAGTACTTTGTGAAGTTCTTCATCATCGGTGTCACTGTACTGGTTGTGGCCGTCCCGGAGGGCCTGCCTCTTGCCGTCACCATCTCCTTAGCCTACTCTGTCAAGGTAATAATTATAAACACGGTACGCGTGAGAATGCCTTCATACTAGGATACAGACCCAGAAATTGGCGTTCCAAGCCATTAAGCAAGTTGGGATCGGTCGTGGGGAGAGTGGGGCGGCTGGGATGAGCTGGACGGCAGGCAGGCGGGAGGATAGACCTAGCATCCGCGGGTCTGAGGACACTGCTGTCCCTTGCAGAAGCGGGTGCAGGCACAAAGGGTGATCCGGAGAGGGCCGAGAACACCGGGAGACAGTGGGGGGAGATGGCGTTGGGAGGGGGGAGCACAGAGACAGCCAATGACCTGAGCGGGGGCCATGGGCAGGGGGGAGGCCCCGGGGAGCCCTGGGAAGAGGGAGCGCCGCGAGTCGACCGCTTGGCCTGTCTCACGAGAGTCCTCCCGCTCTGCCGTCACTCCAAGCCGTGCCCGGCCGCGAGGGTATGTGCCAGCTGACCGAGGCCCCCCGGGCTGTTAGTGCCACATGGAAAGCTGGCTGGGCAGAGCCGAGTCGCACATGACCGGCTGATGACCTCTTGCTCCCCGACCCCATGGGCCAACCTTTCCAAGGACAGCTGGCTACCTAAGCCCTCATCTATGCCCTTTACAGAAAATGATGAGGGACAACAACCTGGTCCGCCACCTGGACGCCTGCGAGACCATGGGCAATGCCACAGCCATCTGCTCAGACAAGACGGGCACGCTCACCACCAACCGTATGACCGTGGTCCAGTCCTACCTCGGGGACACCCACTACAAAGAGGTTCCGGCCCCCAGCACCCTGACCCCCAAGATCCTCGACCTCCTGGTCCACGCCATCTCCATCAACAGTGCCTACACCACCAAAATACTAGTGAGCAGGGAGCGGGCGGCAGGCTGGGCCGAGTCGGGGTGGGATGAGGGCAGGGCGCTGGGCCGGAGGCTGCGGCGTCAGGGGTCACCAGGGCCCCTCTGGACTCCTGCCCTGGCTTCTGGGCGGGACCTGCAGGTTCTGGAAACCCCCTGTGAGCCCAGTGAGTGGTGGGCAGCCTGCCCACATTGGAGTCCGCACGGAGGCCCTCCTCGGCTCCCTGCCACCACACCCTAAAGACATGGTGGCCACAGCCAGGCCGGGGTCCTGGGGGGCAGCAAGGAGGGGAGACTTGGGCCCCCGGTGCCACGCTGGTTCTCCTTGCCTCGTAGCCTCCAGAGAAGGAAGGCGCTCTCCCACGCCAAGTGGGCAACAAGACGGAGTGTGCTCTGCTGGGCTTTGTCCTGGACCTGAAGCGGGACTTCCAGCCTGTGCGGGAGCAGATTCCGGAAGATAAGCTTTACAAAGTGTACACCTTCAACTCGGTCCGCAAGTCCATGAGCACAGTCATCCGCATGCCTGACGGCGGCTTCCGCCTCTTCAGCAAGGGTGCCTCGGAGATCCTGCTGAAAAAGTGAGCCGGCGATGGGAGGCAGCCTAGGGCTGGGTGCTGCAGAGCGCAAGGCTTCTGAGTTTACTGTCGTGGTAAAATAGACATAGCGTAAAAGTGGCCATTGTAATCGCGTGAAAACACACAGCAAGTATAGTCCCGGTGTGGCGCATTACAAAACGTTCTCGTCACCAGCCCCCCAAAGGCAACCCTGTCCCCATTCAACAGTCCCTCCCACCGCACCCCCAACCAGCCCCTGACGTCCACTCATCTCCTTTCTGTATGGATTTGCCGATCAGGGACATTTAACATAAACGGGATCGTACGATATGTGGCCCATGTGTCAGGCTGCCTCTACGGAGCAGAACGCTGTCAGGGTTCATCCATTCGGCCTTCGGCCAGTCCCCCGCCCTTGGGCTGTTGTGAGCCTCGCTGCCGTGAACAGGGGCGTACAGCTGTTCCTTGGGGTTCGTACTCTCAGTTCTCTCGGACATACCTGGGAGCGGAAGGCTGGGTCCTGCCGTAACACAGGTTAACTTTTTGAGGAACCACCCAACTGTCTCGCGCAGGGGCACCATTTTCTATCCCCCCAGCTTCTCCTTATCGCTCTTCTTATCGCCATCCTAGTGCACGTGAGCTGGGACCGCACAGGGGCTTGGTTTACATTTCCCTGATGACTAGGGATGTCGGCCCCCAAATGGCCAAATTTCAGGCCATTTGTGTGCCTTCTTGGGAGAAACAGCCACTCAAGTCCTTTGCTCGTCTTTGATTTGAGTTATTCGTGGTCTTGTCGTTGTCCTGTAAGAGATCTTTAGCACATACTTGATTGGCAAATGCCTTTTCACCGTCTTCATTCGTTCTTGGAGGCACATGTGTTTTTCACTGATGAAATCCTGTTTGTCTCTTTACTTGTTGTGTCCCTCGTGTAGGGTTTTTTTTAGAGGTGATGGAAATGTTCTAAAGTGCACTGTGGTGATGGTGGCACAACACTGCGACTAGACTAAAAGCCATTGAATTATACATTTTATTTTTTTAATATTTTTTAAATATTTATTTTGAGAGAGAGAGCACGCATGCGTGGGGTGGGGGACAGAAAGAGAGGGGGGTCGAGCGTCCCAAGCAGGCTCTATGCTGACAGCAGAGAACCGATGCAGGGCTCCAACGCATGACCTGCTAGATCATGACCTGAGCCGAAGTCAGACGCTCAACCGACTGAGCCACCCAGGCGCCCCTGGATTGGACATTTTAAATGGATAAGTTGTGTGGTGTGTGAATGATACCTCAATACAGCTGTTATAAAAACTGAGTGGGGTGGGGAGCATGGAGCTCCGCCTCCAAGTGCCACCCCAAGCCCCCCAGCCGCTCTGCCCTGCCCGCCTGGCTCCTCACTTATTCCAAGGCCACCTTCTAAGACATAAATGTTCTCCCCCAAGTCTCTGCCCAGGCACATACTCCCCGGGTGCAAAGGCCACCTCCCCCCTGAAGCTGTCCTACCGCATCCCAGGAGGTGTGGCGGCCGGGTTTGGAGGCCCCAGCTCTCTTTCTGTGCTTCCTCAGCCTCTGGCAGGTACCGTGGCTAGAAGCCCCATTCCTGTAGTTGGGCGCTGGGCTCCACTCCTGGCTCTCCTCTTTGCTGGCCGTGTGGACATCGACTCACTCCCCGGCACAGCCTCAGTTTCCCCTACGTGGAGACAACAGAAATACCTCCTGGGAGTGTTGCGAGAGTTACGTGAGTGACTCCACAAAAGGGCCAGAGTCCCTGCCGGCTCCTCCTTTCCTCCTTCACCAGTCTGTCCAGGGCTCCCATTCGCCCCTCCGCCATGCCTGCCTCCGGGGACCTCGGCTCCCTTGCTCCTTCTTCTTGCGCACCTGAATCCTGCTTCTTTGTCACGGCCACGCTCCATGGCATTGCCAGAGCAGCGTACCCCAGAGAGTCCACGAAGAGCTGGGGTGGGCCCTGCACTCTAGGGTCTCCTCGCCTACACCAGCCTATGAGTTGCCAGCTCCCGGGGCTTCCAGAACGGAGGACCATAAATCTGATGGCTTAAAAACACAGAAATCTGTTTTGTCACGGTTCTGGAGACCGGAAGTCCGAAATCAAGGTGTGGGCAGGGCCACGCTCCCTTCGAAACTTCCAGAGGAGGGTCCTTCCTCGTCTCTTCCGGCTTCTGGCCATGGCCAGCAGTGTTTGGGGCTCCTTGGCTTGTACACGTATCACCTCTGTCTTCACGGTGCCTTGTCCTTGTGTGCGTCTGTGTCTCCATGTGTTCTCTTCTCTTTTGATAAGGACACCAGCCATGGGATTAAGGGCCCACTCTAAACCAGTATGACCTCGCTGTGACTTTGCAACAACCCTATTTCCAAATAAGGCCACATCGCGAGGTTCTGGGAGGATGTGAGTGGTTGGGGAGGGTACACCGTTAGAGCCCAGGAGGCAGAACGCCTCCCTCCTTGTACAAGCCTGTCTGCCGCGCTGAATGCGGGGCTCACACCGACGCCTGCCGAGACTCTCTGTTGCTCCGGCCGCCCTCGCTTCACTGGCACCCACGCTGTTGTTCTGTCCCCGCCCCAGGTGCACCAACATCTTAAACAGCAACGGGGAGCCGCGCGGCTTCCGCCCTCGGGACCGGGACGACATGGTGAAGAAGATCATTGAGCCCATGGCTTGCGATGGCCTCCGCACCATATGTATTGCCTACCGGGACTTTTCTGCAGCTCAGGAGCCCGACTGGGACAATGAGAACGAGGTCGTGGGCGACCTCACCTGCATAGCCGTCGTGGGCATCGAGGACCCCGTGCGGCCCGAGGTAGCCACCCTCTGGCCCGGGAGCGGCCCGGGTCATTGGATGGGTGGAGGGGCAGCCCCGGTTCCCATACGGCCTCCATGGCATGGCCCCCTCCTGGTGCCTTCGCTGCTCTCACACCTACTTCCTGCTGGAGCCCAGAAAGGTTAGGAAAGGTGGGCAAGGGCAGGGCCCCAGGGTCCTCCAGGTCAGACCTCCCCGGCAGGACTGACAGGCTGGAGGGAGCGGCGAGGGAGAGGGAGAGTCAGGCACCACTCCCAGGGCTCTGGTTCGGAGGCGGCACTGGGGCACGGTACCGGGAGTCGGACGGGACGCAGGTTTGGGGGGGCAGGGGGCTGTTCCCGGTCACGGGTTTGGTTGGGGCCAAGTGATGTTCGGGACATCCCTGCAGAGATGTCAAGTGGGCAGGTAGCTGCAGGAGTGGAGCACTCAGAGCAGAAGGTCCTGGCCGGAGAGAGATTCCAGAAGCATGTTTATATGAGCGATGTCACAGGGTGAGTGGACAGCTGGGACGGAGGTGGGAGGAGCCTGCAAAGAGACTTGAAGGAAGGGGCCAGGCAAGGAGCCAGCATGTGTAGACGGCTTTACCAAGAGCTTTTGTGAAAAGGGAACAGAGAAACTGGGCAGAAGCCAGCCGAACAGGCTGTAGAGCGAAGACGCAAAGGGGAGGGTTGCCGGTCCATAAAGACGGAAGAGCCTTGAGACAGGGAGAGCGAGCAGGCCCCAAGGGAAGAGCGCAAGCCACAGGGGTGCGGGTTGCCAGAGGCAGGGAGGGACCCTCTCTCACCTCCCAGGGCCTCTCCAGTGGCACCCACCTCATGTCAGAAGCAGGGCCACCCCGATCCTGCTGATTAGCCTGAAAACACACGCGTTGCTGAGACGAGGGAGGACAGGCTTCTGGGCCTTTCTTCAGGAGACAGGTATTCACTGACATACCGGAGCAGGCGCCTAAGACCGGCCAATTCCACAGTCAATGCTCGCTACGTGTACAGAGCGACCGCAGGCCCTCGGCAGCAGTGTATCCCCGCATTCTGAGGACACTGGGGCCTCTCTGTGCAGAAAGGGGACACCTGGAAGCTGGCCTGGGAGGAAGCGGATGGCAGCAGAGGGGACGGGGAGCAGCAGCCTGGGAGAGCAGGGAGAGAAGACGCTGCTGTGGGCGACAGGGCCACCCCCGGAGACACAGGGCCTTGCCCTTCGTCAGGCCAGGGAGAAACGGAGGCGTGGATGATTGGCCTGTGTCTACACGGCAGAGCCGAATCATAAAGCTGCGTTGTGCTCGCATAGACCTGATGGCCTCCCCCTTCTGAATGGAGCTGTTCACTGCTCCACCCCCACCCCTGCCAGGCCGAAGGCGCCCGGCTGGTGTTCAGTGCTGCTCCTAGCTTGGCAGGTGCCAGAACATCTCACAGACCCAGGAGGGCAATGTCCCTGGACTCCCAGGACCCTGGCCACAACCATTTCTACTCCACGATAACCGGCCTGCCCCCACCCTTCTGCCTCAGCCACGTGTCTACTGGTTCCAAGTAGTGAAAATACCTTATCATGTAGAACCTATAGCTGTAAATGCCTCTGGTTCTATGTTGTAAAACGGTGGGCGGCGGGGGCGGGGGGGGGACAAGTGAGAAGTGTCCCGAGCTTGGCCACAAGCCAGCTGATGGCCAGAAGCCTGCCCTGAGTCGGGGCCCCCAAGCAACAGGCCTGCCCTTGGCCTTGCCATCTGGCAGGGTAGCTGGGGACAGAGGTCTCTTTGTCATTCTTCCAGAGCTAAGTGATACAGCCACCCTGCCAGCCAGCCCGGTAACCAGGGCCGATCCTGGCTCGGCCGCTCTGGACCTCCAGTTTGCAGAGGAAAATGAGATTGACGGAGCTGGTGATTTCTATGGTCACCTTTCCAGACAAGACTCCAATGGTGCCCCTCGACAGCATAAAAGCTTCCAGTGGCTTCTCCCAGCTTTACTTGTGTCGGGGCCTGGGTCCGAGTCGTCGCCGGTCCCGGGGCCCAGCGCAATGAAGGAGGCACCTGGGGTCAGCGGGTGGGGGTGGGGGTCGTGCCGAGGGAACGAAGGAGAGGTGCCGCGGAGCCGGATGGAGGGCAGGGCTCAGCCCAGACGCGGATGTGTCTCGCCTCGGTGGCCGCACCCATGCCTTTTGTCTCTTCCAGGTTCCTGAAGCTATCCGCAAATGCCAGCGTGCCGGCATCACAGTCCGCATGGTGACCGGGGACAACATCAACACGGCCCGGGCCATCGCGGCCAAGTGTGGCATCATCCAGCCCGGGGAGGACTTCTTGTGCCTGGAGGGAAAGGAGTTCAACCGGCGGATCCGCAACGAGAAAGGCGAGGTAGTTCCTGGCTCTGCTGCTCTCCCACCTCAGCCCGGGGCTCTGGCTGTTTCTTGGGGGG